ATCACGGTTGCGAGATTCGTGTGATGGAATGTTGAATAGGTCTTATACAGTTATACAGTAGACCCTCTGTAGAAAGACCTCGCCCCACCAGACACAACACAGACATTTACATGCAGGTATGTGCACAGATAAATATACGGGCAGAGATCACGCTAAACACACACACGTTATACATTATATATATATATATATATATATATATATATATATATATATATATATATATATATATATATATCTATGTGTGTGTGTGTGTGTGTGTATTTAGGCAGCAAATTCTTTTTAGACATGTTTGATTGAATAAATTACAAACTTTATGTTTCCTTATTTTTATCATAGTCCTTTTCATGTTCCCGAATATTTTTCCGTATATTACAATTGGATATTGTTCCTCATTCACTTGTAATATACGGTAAAATGTAATTAAAGGAAAAGAAAGAATAAAGAAAGTAAGGGATGAAAGACAAAAGGGAGTGTGAGTAGAACAAAGAAGAAAGAGGAGAAAAGAAAGAAAAAAAAAACAATGGATTAAAAAAGAAAGTAAATAAGTGAAGAAAGAATGACAGAAACAAGTGAGTACAGAAGTACAGAAGAAAGAAAGAAAGAAAGAAAGAAAAAAAAGAAAGAAAGAAAGAGAGAAAGAAAGGAATGTGAGCACAAAAAAAGAAAGAAATGCTAAGGGGAAAAAGGAATGATATAAGAACGAAAAGAAAGAAAAAAAAGAAGAAAGAAAAATGGAAAGAAAAATAAGTGGAGATAGAACGGTTGAAAGAAATGAGAGCAAAAAGAAACAAGTGCAATAACAAAGAAAGAAAGAAAGAAAGAGAGAATGAAAGAAAAAAGAAAGAATGAAATCAGGAAAAAGCTAGAAAGAAAGATTATTTAAGTGGGATTAATCTTTCTTGCGGTTTAAAATCGACCGAAAAACGTAAGAAAGGTATTTGGAATAAAATGAAAGAAAGGTATGTGCAAATGAATAAAAATGGACAGTATTGGAAAGGCAAACAATACGAAAAAATTTCTAATTCATAATCAATTTGATGGCGTCATTATCATTCACTTCTCGTCTGGGAATCAGTCTTTCTTAAGTGTATATAAAGGTGCCTCGTCCTGCGTATATTTGTGAACAGTGGCATGCACACTTGCACTCCTTAACCCATCATGGTACGAATGTCCTACCAAGTCTAAATGGCCTAGTCTGCTTTCTACTTCACCTATAGCTAGGAAAGAAAATTCACACGCGTTTTCAGGCAAATTGAACTGATTCCACCGTAAAGGTAATTCGCCTCATTGATTCTATGCATTATTATGATCAACATTATGTCACGTGCAAGTCGATCTCAGATCATACAACGTGGTGTTAGCCAGCGTCCTGGGTATGACGAAAAACTACGTCCAACAGCAAGGCCTCTGATCAGGTTTTGAGGAGTATGGAACCACGTCTTAATTGCTGGTGTTCCCAGGTCTACCCTGACCCGGGGTGGTAGCACCTGTTAGGGTCCCAGCTCTGGGCAAATAGATAACCTCCAGACTATGGTCAAAACGTGGAAAAATAGATTTTAATACCCGCAATACCTTCTCATAGGAAAAAGTATTACCAGCAATAAATTATTACCAGCAATACTTTTTTGGAAAAATATTAGCAGCAATTTATTTTTAATAAAAAATATTACGAGCAATATATTGTTGGGAAAATATATTAGCAACAATACATTTTTGAAGGAAAAAAAATATTACCAGAAATAAAAATCTTGTCGGCATTAAATAACCCATTGAGGTTGATATACCGTAAAACAAAACAAACCGAACCAATCAAGTGAGCCAAATTCACTATTATTGTCTAAGATTTATGATTTCGATTATCACTGCGTGATCTACACTTCTGGCTTTGTGCTAAACTAAGCAAAATTGAGTAACTATCTTTAGCGGTTTCGTCGTGTGGTTATAGAGGGTGTCCCTATCGTCTGGACACAGAAGTAAAAATGAAATTTTCTACAACATTTTATTGAATGGGAATATTAACAAATAACATCTTCAATATGTTTTCCATCATTTGTGATGTAAAGGTCGATGCACTTTGCAAGATTCACGTGAAGTCAATGCAATAACTCTACATTGCCGTCTGTTTTAGCACATTCACTCTTTATGTGTTCAATCAAGTATATCGCGTCTGTGATTTTTATTGAGTACACTTTCTCCTTTAGCATACCCCATAAAAAGAAGTCAATTCTTTCTTGTTTCGATAAAAGCACGTGTAATCTGTGGAGGTAAACATAAATAGTTGAGATTTCCTACGTTTCCAGACATTATGGGCAACCTGTAGTTAGCGCGATTGGCGAATTGATCATTACTACTCTTTATGCGTTCAATCAAGTGTGTTGCATCTGTGATTTTCATTGAGTACACCTTCTCCTTTTGCATACCTCAGAAAAAGAAATCAGTTCTTTTTTCTTTCCACGATACCATGTGTAATCTGTGGAGGTAAACAAATATAGTTGATAAGATTTCCTATATATCCAGACATCTCGGACACCATTTAGTTAGCATGATTGGCGAATTGGCCATTACTACTGAGTTTTGAGTTCAATCCTCACTCTGGGCTAAGCATTTGCGGCATTGTGTTAAACAATGCTTATAATGTAATGAAAATTATTCCAGTATTTCAAAATTTTAATTAATCTCCTGGAAGCAATATAAAATAAAACAATTCGTCATACATTTAATTTTAAACTCTAAGAAGAATCCTTGCCAACTCTGAGAAAGTTCCATTCGAAATACAATATGATAATTCTTCATTTTTGTCTTATTTCCGTGCCCATTAATAATTTCTGATTTCTTAAGAAAAACTTAAAAAAAAAAAAACACGAAATAAGAAAACGGATCTACTTATCTTCTAATGATTCTAGTTTTTATTAGCGTCTGCTTCTTACAACTGCTCATTTTTTTTACTGCTCAGAATGTTTGCCATAGCAACCAAACCGGCCACATTTTTTAAATACTCTTTCAAAATATTAATCAATTTAACAAAAATCTCCCCCTCTCTTTTGAAATTAGCATTTATATTTAAAACAATATTTTTTTCTATAGGATTACTCGCGTTAAAATTCCAAGAAATGTAAATTTTGTTGACAGAAAAGGAGGAATTTTCTTTTTTTTTTATTGGATGTCACACCATGAAAATGATATACGTAGCTCTTTTTTCTATAAATATGACTTCAACAATGTTGGAAATTCTAAATTTGGACCATGACTGTTTGGAATTATAACTCGTCAGAATTTAGATTCTAACATTAAAACCGAATTGCTTCTCAGCGTTGGCCGATCTATATTTGAAAATAGATCTTGAGATACAACCGTTTGCTATTCTGTTTATTTAAAAGCAACACGGAAGTGAGGCAGCAACTTGCAACCTGGTCAATTGAAATAAGCAATTCTCCATTGATACAACAGATACCTTCTGGCCTTTTAACAACCTTTAAAATTAACAAAGAAAACAAAGCAGTGATAAAAGAATTAAACAAATTGTGTACAATCATTGACGAAAATTGCAGGCCAGGAATCAGTAAATTGGGGAAGTCTTAGTTTTCGAATTTTGAAGCCGTGCGAATTGTAGCCAAAGGCTGTCTCGCTTCTTCAATGAAAGAAAACTACTGTGAATAATGATCAATTCTTGGGTGAGAATTAAATGAAAATTAAATTCCCAAAGTGTGGGGGAAAGCCCAAATAAAGAGAAGAAAAAAAAAGAGAAAAAGAAAGACATTTGTGGCAGACGAGGGGAAAGAAAAGGCAAAATGAAGAAAAGGAGAAAACTAAAAACAAAGATAACTAAAAGGAAGACAGCTAACAACGAAAGTAAGTTAGAATGACGTCGTGGTTGATGAAGAATTCATGGGGATAATACAAGTCAAAAAGAAAGGCTTTTGGTTTGGTTTGTTTTACGCCATATTAACCTCAATGGATTATTTAATGCTGACAAGATTTTTATTTCTTGTAATATTTTTTCCCAAAAATGTATTATTGCTAATATTTTTTTCCTCAAAAATGTATTACAGGTAATATTTTTCCTTCAAAAATGTTTTGCTGGTAATATTTTTTTCTTCAAAAATGTATTACTGGTAATGTTTTTTCATTCAAAAATGTATTGCTGGTAATATTTTTTTTCTTCAAAAATGTATTTCTGGAAATATTTTTTTCCTTCAAAAATGTATTACTGGTAATGTTTTTTCCTTCAAAAATGTATTGCTGGTAATATTTTTTTTCCTTCAAAAATGTATTGCTGGTAATATTTTTTTCTTCAAAAATATATTGCTGGTAATATTTTTTCTTCAAAAATGTATTGCTGGTAATATTTTTTTCATTCAAAAATGTATTGCTGGTAATGTTTTTTTTCTTCAAAAATGTATTACTGGTAATGTTTTTTCATTCAAAAATGTATTGCTGGTAATATTATTTTTCTTCAAAAATGTATTACTGGTAATATTTTTTCCTTAAAATGTATTGATGCTAATATTTTTTTCCTTCAAAAATGTATTACTGGCAAAAATTCATTGCTGGTAAAAAAAAATTCAGAAATATATTGATGTTATTAAAATCTATTTTTACACTTTCACATAGTTTTGACTCCAGTTTAGGAGTTAACTATTTGCTCATAGCTGGGACCCTAACAGGTGCTAATACCCCGGATCAGGTTGTACCTGGTAACACCAGCAATTAAGCGGTTGTTCCACGCTCCTCAAAACCTCTTGATCAGAGACCTTGTCTTGGATGTAGTTTAACGTCATACCCAGGGCGCCCCATTTTTTTACCCCTCTGCAAAGGTGCAGTCGGCGTATTCTAAAGACCCAGCCGAAAAAAAAGAAATAAAAGACAAAAGTGAAACCAAGTAATACTAATTAACCCATAGTTGAAGGAGAAGAGCTGGATTCATATTTAAATGTAACACACCCGACGGGAATTTGAACTCGCTTCTCCGATTTGCAATTCCATTACGCCACCCAAACTTACAGTACCTGGTATTCCCAAACGGTCACCCATCTAGATACTGACCAGGCTTGACGTTTCTTAACATCGGTGATCGCACGGGAAGCGCCGTTTTATCGTGATGAAACCTTCATCCAACAGATTGAGAGAGATAAAACAAAGAGAAAACTTGTCTGGAAAAAAATTAAAAATGAAATGCTTAATAAAAGCTACAAAGAAGAAAAAAATTGGTAAAGAATGAAAGCTTCAAGATTCAGGAAAGGAGAAAGGGAATAAAAGAGAGGCAAAGAGAAGAATGGGTGTTATGATGAAGAAGAAGAAAGGGTGAAATAAAAAAGAGGAAGAAGAGGAACGAATCAAAAGTATAAAAAAAAAGGATAAAAAAGACAACGAAGACAAAATTCAGGAAAAATAAAAATAGAGAGCATGATAGAATCTAGAAAACGATAGAAAGAGAAAGTGGATTGTATAAATGATAGAAAAGGAAGGAGAATAACATGGGTGGAGAAGGAAAGCTTGAACATACAAGAAAGAAAGAAAAGGATAAAAGCTACGAAGAGAGGAGGGATTTTAGAAGTGAGAAGAGAAACGTGAGAGAGAGAGAGAGAGCAAAGAAAGCAACGAAGAAGAAGAAAAAGAAGAAGAAGAAGAAGAAGAAGAAGAAGAAGAAACGCGAAAGGAAAAGAGAATAAAAAACAGAATGAAAACAAAAATAAAGATTGACAGGTAGAAGAAGAATTAAGAAGAAAAATGAGAAAAATAGAAAACAAAGACGAAATTAAACTAAGAATTAAAAAAGAACATAGAAAAAAAGAAAGTCGTTTAGAAGAAGAAAGAAGGAGCAGAATGAATGTATGGAAGAAATAAATGAAAGGAAAAAGAATAAATAAGAAAAGAATGAAATCAAAAGAAAAAAAGAGGATAGGAAGGAAACGTAAAATGAAATATAAAAAATAAAAATAAATTAAAGATCAAAGTGAAGAGAGAAAGAGACGTGAAAAAAGAAGGAAATTAAGAATGTTGGTACAATAGAGAAAATGAAAGAAAATAAGTGAGAGACATTCTAGAATGAAAGGAAAAGAGAGACAGTATGAGTTGAGAAAAGACGTATAGAACAATGAAAAGAAAGATAAAACGACAGACACTAGAAATAAAAGAGATGAATGAAGATTATGAAGGAGAAAGTAAGAAAGGGAGCAGAGGGAAGAAGAAAATGAAAGCGATTGACAGTAAAAGAATGAAAGAAAGAAAGTTAATCAAACTGAAAAGAAAAAAAAAAGAGGAAATCACAAAGAAATGAGAAGAAGGAAAGAAGAGATTAAGGAAAAAATAGTAAAAAAGAAGAAAGAGAATCATGAAAGAAACAAAAGTCATGAAAGAAGTAAAAATCATAAAAACTGCTCAAGAAAATTTCAACCAATGAAAAAAAAAAAAAAATGGAACCCAAAAAGAAAAACTTTTTTAAAGGAAGAAAAAGAATAAAAGCAAAAAGAGAAAATAAAAGAAGAAAAAAGAATAAAGAAAAAAAAAAAAGAGGCGTAGAATTAATTTCAACTTCATTCACCGCGACACGAATTTCGAACTTTTATTGTCGATAACTCCAAAATGGTAGATTTTATCAAGATTTCTTTGTTACTTTCGACTTAAGCATGTACATTTACATCTAAATTGAACTATTCGGGAAATTTTTATTTGAAACTGCAAATGGCCCTTTCGAGGTTACAAGTTGAAATTAGTTCCGTCACCCATATCGAAGTATATCTCATTTACTTCTTATTTAGTACTGAGCACTTATTTCTTTCCTCGTCTCCTGATGAACTGTGGTAATAATTCAGTTCTTTGTCATCCCTTATTTGAGGCTGCAGAATACATTTCAACTTCACCCACCGCGACGCAAAGAAGTTCGAACTTTTATTGTCGATAACTCCAAAATGGTAGATTTTATCAACAATTCTTTGTTATTTTTTAATTAAGCTTGTACATTTGCACTTAAATGGAACTATTCGGGAAATTTTTATTAGAAACTTAGGGTTGGGCTTGAACTGCAAATAATCCTTTTGAGGTTCCGAGTTGAAATTAGTTCCGTCACCCCCAAAAAGTAAGAAGTAGAAAATGAAAATAAAGTAGAACACAACAGGAAGACATATTTCTCAAGTTATCGTAGAAATAAAGTCCGAATTTAGTGTCCAATTAAAAATCAGTTTTAATTAAAATGAATTCATGGACACTGGTTACATTATCATCAACACTACGCTTGTTGCAATTCACAAATCTCAGTATACGATGATTGTAAAATCCTTTCAGTTTAAAGAATAAATAGAGAAAACTACCCTGACTAATTACTGACGGCACGTGCCTCATATATATATATATATATATATATATATTTTCTGTTTATACGATATTTTTATAGACAAAAATGTTTAAGTAAACAGTATTAACAACATTTACCGGTCTGAATGTCCGGGAAATCTTATAGAAAATATGTGTATCGACTCTCTATCCTACACGGGACCGTCATTTGGCCTGACGTGCTATACCATTTAGCTACAGGGGAAGCGTCTGGTTAGCAAGAAATAAACAGAAAATATATTTAAATAATTGAAGAACTTAATCCACTTTATAATACACACACACACATACACAAACTTATATATATATATATATATATATATATATATATATATATATATATATGTGTGTGTGTGTGTGTGTGTGTGTGTGTGTGTGTGTTATATAATATGCTTAAAAACAATAATGTAAACAAAAAAGAATGACACACATCCAAAGGTAAATAAAGATAAAAATAAAGAAAATAGATGAACCGACAATATTAAATAAAATGAAAATAAAGAAATAAATATCACAAATAATAATTATCACAATTTTTATCAAGGTGATTTTAACTCATAAATCAGTGCTAATTAGGTCATCATCTTCTAAAATTTGAAATTTCTAACGTTCTAAGAACCTGGACGTATATTCACTGTGGCTGAAGTAGCAATTAAAGCACTTTCTAGGCATTATCGTCTTAGTGAATTATTTTCTCTTTTTAATTCGAGTAGCGTTTTTTTTTATGTTGAATTTTGATCTGTTTCGTTTCGGTGAATAACCAATGCGTTGTGTGTGTTGTTTTTTAAAATGTCTTTTTTTGTGTTCATATAAACTTGTATTTAAACTGCTTGAGGTCTCTCCAATATATTCTTTCTCGCAATCTTTGCAGGTAATAGGGTAAATTCTTCCTTCACATTTTAACTTGTTTTATTTTGTATTGATTATTGTTTGTAATTACGAGAGGATCGTATTAGAAATAAACAGACAAAATTGTCGAAATTATTTAATGAGACATATATATATATATATATATATATATATATATATATATATATATATATATATATATATATAAATTAATTGATTTAAAATATGTTTTTTCCGCTACACAGTTCTAAACATGTTTAAAAAATGGAAGCTAAAAGCCCCGAATTTAATTTTGTAATTAAATTAAAGACATTGTTCCATTTCATCCTCAAGCAAATTTACAGAGCATTAATATCATTGTAAATTTACAGAGCATTAATATTATAAATTAACTGATTTAAAATATCGTTTTTTTCGCTACACAGTTCTAACCATG